CTTGGTCCGAATTGGACGATAAGCGCGTTCTTCCAACCTGCCATGTTCGATCTCGTCGCCTTCATCACCTCTGTTGTCTTCTTTGTCTTTTCATTCATGGTCCTCTACTACTAAGACTAGTGCACACGTTCGGACATGTCAGCGGACTCGCTCCTCGCTCGGTCCAAACGAAACCCTAACTCTTAAACAAAAAACTTTCTGTTGTTGGTTGCGCTATCTTATATCGCTATATGCCGACCAATGGCCGCAAGCCAACCCAAGTTTAACGCACCTCCCTTGAATTCGTGCTAGATCCATTTAGGGGCGAAGGTAGTTAAAATTTTCTCATAACAAAGGCAATCCCCCATCTACGTGTCGTCTCCGCGCACGGACCATACTAATTGTCTCTGTATTATTGCAATTTTAACAAATGTCCCAAAGGACGGGCCGCAAGCCACGATATACAGATATCATCATTGAACTAATTCGTCCTAGGTAATTCAAAAACATTTGGCCTTACCCATCGAGTTTCATCATTTGGGTTTGAACTTCAGTTTCCAATTCAACAACTTATAGGTGTAACAACTGAGCTAGGTCCGTCTGTCCTATCACCGGTCCCGCAAGCAATACCGGTTCGGGTTCCAACATGGGACTATAAAATTTAATAATAATAAAATAAATTAACAAAAAAAATAAAAAACGGAGAGGATTATAAGAAAGAGGAAAAATCACCGACACCTTCTCGATCTCGCCATTCGGACCCGTGTCTGAGACTAGTGGTAAAACTAAGAGGGATAGTCTCCCGAGACCCTCACCCCTTTTACTTTTTTCATCGTACTCCGTTGCTCCATTGATGTTGGTTGAAGTTTGATGTCGGGCACGCCAAGCGGTTGCGCTTAGCCGTCGGCACACTGCGCACGTTGCCCATTTGGGCAAAAAAGTCAATTTTTCCATGTGTACGTGATCCGCCTCACATGCTAAGGTCCCGTTGGACAAGTCTCGATACATCTCATATTCACACATTGGTCTTCTCCCAATCCAATCTTGACAACCCCATACCAAGACTTCATATCGACTTACATAGAACGTCGCCAATTACAAACATGACGACACTGGTGTGAATATGCAATAAATACACCAAATACCCTTTTGGTACGACAACTTCTGAGAGAAGGTTCAATGCTTTGTTGTGTTATTGTTTTTGCCCAACAAGTCATTTTTTCAACGTCAAGGGTATTAGTTTCATCATTCTTTGAGTGACAAATTATAACCAAAACGTAATTTTTTTTTTTTATAGGTTACCGGATCGGATGTCCGGGACCCCCCTGACCGTCCGAGATGTCCGCCCGGACGTATGGTCGGACGTTGGACTGGACAGGGTATGTTCGACCTACCGCAAAAAAAAAATAAAAAAATAATAATTGAAAAAAATTGTGTGGCTTTCACCTTGCAGAAGGTGTATGCCACCAATTTTTTGGCTCATTTGGGTAAGTAGAATAAACAATAAAAATCTTTAAAGATTCTAATCCCCACTAATACCCCTCCTATCCCCACAAAACCCTCTCGTACTCCCCCCCCCCCCACCCCACCCCAAATACCACCCTATCACCAAATGTTCAAAAAAATCTGAAAATTTTTGTGGAGGGTCTCTAGGGCATGTGCAACACTGTCATTTTTTTTTTTTTTTATATTATTTAGTGCTAAAAAACCGTCGTTCGGAAATCCGGACGACGGGGGTATCGGACGTATGGGGGAGACGTCCGGGGGAGACGTCGGATCTCCGGACAATTGGTAACCTAGGTTTTTTGTAGTATGAAAATAAAATTTGCCCAATAATGAGTACCTAAACCAATCATCATAGCTTTGGCCAAGTACAATAACAGTTTCATGATCAATGGTACGAGGGTGTCCCTTTTGGTGTTCGGGTGAAAACGTTGAATTATCATAGGTTGTTAGGAATTAGAGGATGCATCCCCTGGGTGGGACATGATATATGGGATGGGGAGGGACGACATGCGGTCTCCTCAACCTCCCCTGCGCCTCTTCTACCTCTCCCCCTACCTCTACCCCCACCTCTGATTCCAACAACAGAAAAATTCCCACGAGAAATGAAATTTGAAAAAACATTCCATAAAAAAAAAATCCTTCATATTTATAAATTATCCTTTCAATGTTCATCCAATTCTAAAATTTTCAGTTTCATTCGATAAGTTCCCATATAAATATGAGGTTTCCCTTCCAACTACATCTATTTTTTAAAGATGGAATGAACGTCTAGACGAGTTCATGAAATGTCTTAAACCACTAGTACCTTTGTCGGTTCGAAAATACTGGGCCACTAAACTTTCAGGAAGCCGAAACGAAATAACGACCGCTAATCAGATTTATCAACAGCAGCCGTTGTCAGACCCAACCTCCTGAAAGTTCGGAGGTAGACCAAAACTGGTCAAAAACAGGCTCGGAGGTACTAGTGGTTTAATTAAACTTTCATTCTACTATAATAAATATCTTTTAATTTTAAATTGAATTAACTTATTTATCACTGAAAATCCTTACATAGAATGACAGTCCAATTAAAATATTTCATGAACTCATCCAAACTTTCATTCCATCTTTAACATGTAGTGCAAGTAAGAAGGGATACCCCATTATTGGAATAAAAGTATTCATGTACGACGATTTTTTTTTTAATTTAAATTATATTTTTAAAGATAAAATAAAAATTTAAAATGTATAATATAATTTTACTATAGAATGATTATCTAACTCTGGGAAATTTTCCTGTTAAAACTTGAAACTCCGGGTTGTAGAGCTCGATGGTGCTGAGTTGTTCGTTATCCAATTTGTTCCTTCGATTTTTCTCTTATGAGAACGCGCATTCCTCAGTCGTGTGATATTACCAATTATATTTATCACATTAAGGTGTGTCTGCAGTCACGATATCTACTTTCAGTTTAAAATTTATCTTAATGTTGAAAACGCATCCTCATCTTTTTTGCCACCCGTGCTTTAGCTTGTGTTGGGAGGTCAAATTTCATATTCAAGAGTTTGGGTTCTTCTTCATTTCTGAGTATTGGATACAATGTTAGGATTGTCTCAATTTTATTTTCAAGGATTAGACTTGAGTGATCATTAGTCTTCCCTCTCTCTACTTTGTTTGTTTCTCCTCCAACATTTTTCGTCTTGCCCAATGATTGAATGTGATGTTGTATAACAACACAATCGAAGATTTTCCCTTATCTATTTTATTCTTCAGTAAGAACAACAGATCTCCTTGTGCGGAGGGATACACACCATTATATTTGTGCCTCAATTTATGAAAATTCCTCATTTCATTATTTGAATTCCTAATTCATTTTTTACCCATCTACTTGCGTATATGGGGATAAGCTGGCATAAAAAATTCAAAATTCACCACTGCAGTGTTTTTTTTGAGCCATTGCACGTTATGTTCGTCTAGTCTGACTGCTTTACCTGTTATTGAAACACAAGTTGAAGATGTATCTGTTTATATTTCTACCAATGTAATCTCCATTACTGACGGACAAAACTGTTTTATCGTGGAATCCGACCTGCTATTAATATGCAACAATTGGGACATCTCCGCCGAATTGCTGCCACGAATCATCATTCGATAATGTTATCGATAAACTATTGCCTCACTGTCTTCTATTTCAATGACATCTTCCTCTACCTCTTTTATTTCTGTGGGGGTGTTCATTGTCTTGGTTCTCCATGTTTGCTTGGGAGGGGGTAAAAGGCAAATGAGGGAGAATGAAAGTCGTAGGTGGGGGAGATGTAGATGGCGGAGGGCGAAGCTGTGTGGGCGAGCGAGCAGAGTTGTATGGTGGGCAAGCGAAGTAATGCTTTCGGAGTGGGTGGGTGAAGGTTTGTGGGCGGGCGTACGATTACCAAAATGCGCCTTTGTACTTAGTAATCTTTGAATTACCTTTTATGAATTGAACATAGTTTGATTTTGTTTCTGTTTAGGTAGCTCAGTTGGTTAGAGCGAAGGACTGAAAATCCTTATGTCAGTGGACGACCCGAGCTCTAGTCACGGTCCCACTTGCACACGTGTAGTATATGTGCGATGCGTAGGGAACTTTTGTCGACCATTTACTACTCCACGCGTTGCAACGTGTAGTTTTCGACTGCTACACACTGCAAGTGGGACTAGACCCCAGGAGGGCGGGCAGACAAAGTTGTCCGAGTGGTTGAGTGGGCCGGCAGGCGCGTGGGTGGGAGGGCGAGGTTGGACTCACGGTCGACGGCGGGTGGGCGGGCGGCCATGCTGGTCAATGGGACTTTGTCTTTCCAAATGAGACCTTTCCTTAGTGACCCCTTCCTAAGGGCCAGTCTCCACTCTCCGGCCACCTCATCTGCGGTCGGCCCTGAGTAAGCTTCGACCGGCATGTGCTTCCACCAACGGACCTGTCCCTGCTCGGCCGCATATCGTTCGTCAGTGCCGAAGCTGGCAGCGCAAGCAGGGCATTTTCTACTGTTCTCTATGCTCTGCGGTCGGCCCTGAGGGAGCTACGACCGACATTCGCGTCCACCAGCGGACCGGTCCCTGCTCGCCCGCACATCGCTCGTCAGTGTCGAAGCTGGGAGCGCTTGAAGCAGGGGCCTTTTTTTTTTGTTGTATGGCAGTTATTTACCAAAGCCGAGAACCGGGCCCGCCGTCCCTCACAAAAAGGCAGGCAGGAACCCCTGGACTACCGGTAGGCATCACCGGCCAGGGTCAGAGGGCCCAAGTAGGGCATTTTCTACTGCCCTCTATGCTTGATTGCCGTCAGATTCATCCAGGTCCAGCCGTAATTGCCATGCCATTGTGAGTATACCCGTAGCGGAGACAAGACAATTGCACTGGGAATAGGAAGCCAGGCTGAGGTGGAAGGGAAGAGAAGGGAAGGGAACTGAAGGGGAGAGTGGACGGGGCTTTTTCCCAGGAAAGGCTGAACCCCTCTTCTGGGGCCTCAGGTGTTGGCACCGGCAGTGGAGTGGAGGGCACTTAGGAGATCGTCGGCTTACGCCCTCCTTCCCTTCGCCCGGTTCTACGTCGTTGCGGGCGGCGCTCGCGCTGCTGCACTGCCGTAGATCGGTCTGATCTACGGCAAAGAGCGATTCTTTCGTTTTGTCGTTTCTCACGTGCGTGTTGCCAAACGACGCCCACTCTCATCTCTCTCTCTCTCCTCCCGTTCTCTCCATTTCCCCTGGCTACTGTTGTGTAGGCTCGCACGTCTCCATTCTCCTCCTTTCTCCTCCCTTCTCTCTCTTGCACTCTGATTCTTGAGGACGACATCCTTCTCTCTGCTGCTGGTTCGATCACACAGGAGAGAGAGAGGTTAGGCGAGAGGAAGAACAAAAGGAACTAGGAGGAGGAAGAGGAGGAAGAAGAGGAGGAGGGGCAGCGGGAGGAGAAGGAAGAAGAAGAGGAGCTTCTCTCTTAAGAGCGAGCTATGGCGCCGAAAGCAGCAGCGGGGGGAGCCAAGGGGAAAGGCGGAGCTGCTGAGGAGAGACCAATCCTCGGCCGATTCTCCTCTCATCTTAAGATTGGCATCGTAGGGCTGCCCAACGTGGGAAAGTCAACGCTTTTTAACACGTTGACCAAGCTGAGCATCCCCGCGGAAAATTTCCCCTTCTGCACCATCGAGCCTCATCAGGCACGTGTCAACGTCCCCGACGACCGATTCACTTGGCTGTGCGATCTTTATAAGCCGAAGAGCGAAGTCCCCGCCTTCTTGCAGGTCCACGATATTGCCGGTCTAGTGCGGGGGGCTCACGCAGGCCAGGGCCTGGGCAATGCCTTTCTAGCGAATATCCGAGAAGTGGATGGGATCTTCCACGTGCTTCGCGCTTTCGACGATCCCGACGTCATCCACGTGGAAGACAGCGTGGATCCCGTCCGCGACCTGGAGATCGTGAGCGAAGAGCTGAGGTTGAAGGACCGGGAGATGATGGACAAGAAGCTGGAGGAGCTCTCAAAGGACATGAAGCGAAACCCTAATGACAAGGAGAAGAAGAAGGAGCTTGAGTGCTGCCAGAAGGTGGTGGAGATGCTGGAAGAGGGCAAGGATGTTAGGCTCGGGGACTGGAAAGCCGACGAGATTCTGATCTTGAACAAATTCCAACTCTTGAGCGCCAAAACCGTCGTGTACCTGGTCAATATGACGGAGAAAGATTACCACAGGAAGAAGAACAAGTGGCTGGCCAAGATCCATGCCTGGGTTAAGGACCACGGAGGCGATGTGATCATCCCATTCAGCGGCGCTTTGGAGAGGAAACTTGCGGATATGCCCCCCGATGAGGCGGAGCGATACTGCAAAGAGAGCGAGCTGCAGAGCGCGCTGCCGAAGATCATCAAGACGGGATTCGCGGCAATCCATCTGATCTACTTCTTCACGGCGGGAGCGGATGAGGTCAAGTGCTGGTCCATACGCAAGCAGACGAAAGCACCGCAAGCAGCGGGGGCAATTCACACAGACTTCGAGAGGGGATTCATTTGTGCTGAAGTGATGAAATACGACGATCTGAAGGAGCAGGGGAGCGAGGCAGCGGTCAGGGCGGCGGGGAAATTCAAACAGGAGGGCAAAAATTACGTCGTCGCTGATGGGGATATCATAAACTTCAAGTTCAATGTCACCGCTGCTGGGAAGAAGTGACCGTGATCTCCGTCACGAAGGTGAGGAGGAGAAGGGGGGAGGAAGGAGGGAGCAGGAGGAGGGAGGACGAGGGAGGAGGGAGGAAGAGGGAGGAAGAGGGAGGAGGAGGGTGGAGAGTATAGTGCG